TTCCTCCACCTCAACTAAGCTTCCCTATAATCATCACTGTGTACCAGTATTAAATTGGTTGTTTAAAACGTATACTCTGTGTGTGTGTGTGTGTGTGTGTCTCTTTTGTCTGGTGAAAAAAAAATTCCCTGGAACCTAACCCCCTCATTTACATTAATTCTTATGGGGAAATTGGATTCGCTTAACATCGTTTTGCTTAAAGTAGCATTTTTCAGGAACATAACTACAATGTTAAGTGAAGAGTTATTGTATGCAATCGCTAACCCTGAGCAATGTGACATAGTAGTCCACAAATATTTATTTTACAAATATGAGTAAACTTGGTTTCAATATTTGGGGCACAGAATTAAGATATATATTTACATGTTTTAATTACTAATATTACCAACAGTTATTGGTATTTTTCCTCAACATTAAAGAGGAAAAGATGATCAGTTATTAGTAATTTGTTTTCTGGACTTCCATATCCTATCTAGATTTTTCTCATAAATGTCGATACACAGGCAGCAGTACCAATGAAAAGAAGGCACCTCAGCTCCTCCTGTTCTGGGTCTTTCTTTGCTTCTTTGTCTGTTGGTTTCCTTAGTTATTATTTTTATTAAATATATGTATTAAAAATTGAAACAGAGGAAAAACTAAAAGCCAGCCAAGTCCAAGAATGCCAGGAATAATGATGTGTAGTTGCAGCCATGTCAATCAACAATCTTCCAAGATCCATAGATCCTACATATGCCTATTACAACCTGTGGTATACCTCATCCAGTGCACTAAATGCCCCAACAACTATGTGAGTGAAACCAGACAATCACTACGATCTCAAATGAACTCACACAGGAAAATGATAAAAGACAAAAACACCCTATTCACCTATGGGTGAACACTTTTCACAAAGCGACCTATCAGTCCGCATCCTCAAAGGAATCCTGCACAACTCTTTCAAAAGATGAGCCTGGGGGCTTATATTCATTACTCTGCTAGACACTAAAAATCACGGACTGAACATAAACACTGTATTTATGGCTTATTACAACAATCTATAACCAATTAACCCCCTCTTTTTGTCCTATGACTGCAGAGGTGTTAATAGGCCACTCTACCTTGAATGGTTGATTACAACACATACTAACTACTTATGCTAAACAATCTGTCCCAGTGTCACAGCAAAATGAAAGGTGGAAGTTTCTTTCTCATACCTGTACAAGTGCTCTGTGTGGCTCAAAAGCTTGTCCCTCTCACCAACAGAAGTTGGTCCAGTAAAAGATATTTCCTCACCCACCTTGTCTCAGGAATAATAAAAACACTATTGAATTAGTTAGCTGGAAAAAAAGTGTTAATCAAAATCAGAATGATGAGTGATGATGTATTAGCTAAACAGAGTTTTGTCTAATTCGCAACTGAATAGAAATCTCCAAGGAAACCTAGATGTCACAGGAGATGGCACTTTTGATTCATTCTGAGGCGATTTTTCCTCCGAGGCAATAACAAACCAATGATCAAACATGGTGATAAAGATGTTACTGAAAGTGCCTGTCATCTTTTGAAAATAATGTAAAACTGAAGCCCTGAATATCAGTTGTCCTTACAAAATCCCAAAGCAATTTTTGCAAGAGGCACAGCATTAACCTTGGTATCCTAGAGAAATTTCAATCTGAATAATTGAACTTTGCTTACTGTAGTTTCAACACTGCCCTCTGGTTGCAATTCAAGCAACAAAGCACAAACTCAGGAACAATATTAGCGCTATGGAAACAGTTTAGTGCTCTTGCTCTTGAGTCCAGTCAATATTTATATTTATAGTTGTGAAAATGATCTCTTAGCCCTTTCAGCAAAAAGCAAACATTCAGGGATCCCTGATTAGGATGTCGCTGATGAAAAACTACTTTCTGTCCCTTATGTTTTCAACTACAGGTATCTTCTGGAACCAACTCTACAGGCACTGACAGGCAACGACCGAGAGTCTAGAGCAGCACTACTATCAAAGCTGGTAAACCAATTACACAGATGTATCATTACCCCTAGTTTACAGATGGAGAGACTGAGGCACAGAAAGGTGCACTGACTTATTCAGTGTCACACAGTAAGTAACTTCACCTCTCTGTGCCTTAGTTTCTCCAAATATAAAATACATATTCACCTTTGTACAACACTTTGAGATCTATAGTTGAAGAACACTATAACTGTTATCCCTCTTGGTGGGACAGGACTTCTTTTAAAAGCCTAATATAACAGGAAAACTGCATTAGTCTCTTATCTGCCCTGGACCATTGGTTAAAAAAAAGTATCATCAGGCTTCTTCGCTGGGGCCTCTTTGTCATAATATTCACTTTGCCTCAGATTCTGGATAAGGAATCGGTTATCTGCCCAGATCCTTGAAGGCTACACAGGGCCTTGAGGCAGGAAGTAAAAAGTGTTTCCAAGGTGGCCAAGGATAAGCTCAAACTATAAGGCTATGGTTTTTCTGCTTACTTGCTTTCTTGCCCATTATCTTCTTTATTTCAGTCATCCCTTAGAGATGCAGCTAAGAAAATTAAATTGAGAAACAAGGAAGATGAATGAAAAATTAAAGAACTTAAGTGCTACTCTATTTGAGGCAGTCCAAAAAAAAAAAAAAGACAGAAAGAGAAAGACAAGTGCTGATATGAGTAAAGAGCAGAAACAGGAGGTACCAGAAGGCCTTATTTTCATTGGTAGAGCTACCTGTCAGTCAGAAGCAATGGAGAAATCTCTTCAGTTAATACTGATGGAGCTGAAGCTAAAGAAATAAAACATTAAAACAAAAATGCACATATACTTTATTATGCAAGAGGCCAACCAAAAGAGCTGTTTCTCTTCTCGCATTCTCTCTCTCCTTTTCTAACATATATTACTTTTTATACACCGTAACTTATTTTTAATTGTCAATAACTTGGTCTCTTTATAAACATTATGAAATAAAAGATACAAAGAGGATCAGTTGTGACTAGCTGCTAAAAATGGCAAAGATCATGTTAGAAAACAGCAAGCAATTTCTGAAAACATCCAAAAACAAGTATAGTTCTTCTTTTATTTCTCTCCTATTTTAACAAATTATCTAATTGATAGATGCAAGATATTTCTGATTTTCTGTAGAGCACTAGTGTTTCAACCTCACAAAGCCTGTGACAATGGGCCCTCTGATTTGGGGATACATGTGAATCTCAACTTTAATTAAAAAAAAAGTTTCCATTTTCATTGCAAAGATATCCTTGAAACATTAAACCAATATGAACTGAAATAAGACAGTAGCTAATGCTGAAGGAACAATCAGCAGGGCTCCACTTCTACACACAGACACACACAGACATACACACACATACAAAAGAGTCAGCTAAGTTCAGAGTGTATTTCAAATAAATATTTCCCTAACTCTACCCAAAATCCATAGTTCTGCTTGGGTATAATAGTGTTACCATGGAGAAAATAAATTGTTTATATTTTGCAGAGGGATGAATGGCACACTACTATTTTGCAGCGCTGCTCAAAAACAGTAAGACCAACTCTGGTTCTCAACTATTCCCCAAGAAACATTAAATACAAAAAATTAAAAGTACTGTATAATGATACACTGGCTTCTGATATATTGCATACCTGGTTTGTAAAGTTCAGTTTGAAACAACTTTTTACTACTTTCTCGGAAACCCCTGACAATACTGGTTTATAATTGAAATGGTGACACAAAAGTTAATTATTTGGCACCTCTACAATACTAGATACAAATGTAGTCACGTGATGATCTCTTTTTTCCTCCAAGTAGGTCCTAAATTATTCAAAGCTATCAAAAGATAATTGCTTATCAATGAATTGTGTGTTACAAATGATGGTGTTTTGAAATTATGGAGCTCTCTTATAATAAGCTTTTTCAAGGTACTGCATTACTTGATTCTATACCAATTTCTAATCTGGTATGCCGGTTGTTCCTGCTGTAAATATATACGTTGCTGCTTACCACCTTCACATTTCAACACTTCTTTATCAACGAGTTTTCACACTCTGTAGCACACAGATATATGATGAAACTGTAACACTTCAATAAACCTGGAACTGCGTGTGATCTCTATGTTTGCAGTGTTGTTGTAGCCATATTGGTCTCAGGACAATAAAGCGACAAGGTAGGTGAGGTAATATCTTTTATTGGATCAACTTCAGTTGGTGAAAGAGACAAGCTTATGATTTTACACAGAGCTTTTCTTGCACAGAGCCCAGACCTGAAGATCTCTCTGTAAGTTTGAAAGCTTGTCTCTTTCACCAACAGAAATTGGTCCAAAAGAAGTCATTGCTTCACCCACATTGCCCGTCTTTATGAACATTCTAGGGTCATGACTGAGTTGCTATCTTTGGCCATGACTAACAGACAGATGGCATTATGAAGAGAAAGGGTAATAAATATATACTTCCTTTTAGGTAAAGAGACAAAATATTATTAAAAAACGTAAACATATTAACAGGAATGTTAGAGACAAAATAAAAGGATGTAACTGGCATTTTACAAGAAAGTTTCTTCTGCATCAGTGAATATTCAGTGTTGTACTAATTACAGAAAATAAATACAGTATTGTACCTCTTAAAAACCCTTTCCCAGTTTTGCCTATGAAAGTCTAGAAGTAAATTATTGGTGCTCTGCTTACAACAGATTCTTGTATCTACTAAGTCAAGACAAGAAAGGAAAACCTAGAATAAAGTAAAGTAAACTAGCTACTCTAGTGGATTGGACTTGTGTTTTCTAAATAAAGAATGATAATCTGTTTTGAAATGTTATATTCCCTGTTTGGTAGCAGCTGGATAATGAAGGTGAATTCTCGCTAAATAAAATGTTCAGCTCCTTCAGCTCTACTTAGTTGACCCCTGGATATGAGCACATTAGCAAAAAATGTAAGAATTAAATTTAATATAGAAGGTTTTAGCTTATGTTACTGAGCTATTTTCCAAGCTTAAAAACAGGAACAAGAAAACCAAATTGGAATGATAGCATGAAAGTGCTCCCCTAGGAGCACAAAAGGGAGATAAGGAGGCTTTCTACTGAAGTGGCACAATAAACAAATACCACAAGTGATTATGTTAGCAACTTGAAAATTATTTTTATACTGAGAAAAAATTAAAGCAGCCAGGTCAGTGGCATTCTGGTACTCCTTCAAACTGGCAAGAGAGAGATCAAGCTTCCATTCCCAATCTCAAAAGGCTTGAACTACTGGCCAAGATACTCATTCCCATAACTGTTCAGTAATGCCAGAGTTCAGGCGTATCCAGCAATGACAAGCACTGTTCAATAGTGACATTTATCACTGATTAAACAGCAGTATTGATGAGCTTTGAAGATGGGGGATTCAAAAGGGGCTGAATGTGTACCAGATGTATGGAGAAAGATATAGCTAAATATACATGTTTAATATACAAGTTTATAATTCTGCATCCTGTACTGTCATAAAAAAGTAATCAGTTCTGGTTTTTTTTAAACAGCAAATTTAGTGTTTTTTGATGTTGCAGACTGTCAGAATTAGAGAGACATCTTCTCTGATCCATAGAATTGATAGAACATGAGAAATAACGGTGCAAAGTTCTAATTCAGCAAAGCCTTTGCGCACATACATAAGTCCATCCCTATTCAGCAAAGCACATAAATCCCATTGAACAGTGAGGTCAATGGGACTTAAGAATGTACTTAAGTATTTTGCTGACACAGGGCAAAAAATTCCATATACTGATGCAACAATGTAATATGTCTGACCTGAAAGAACCATCCCTGGGAGTTTCTCTGCCAAGCCTTGGTTGGATATAAAGCCAGACACTTAACTCACTAAGAAATTGACTGAAACCACCAATTTGTCACATTTTAAATACAAACTAAAATTATATTAAGGTAGCCTGGAATACATTACTATATATTGTATCATAATGAATAATTTTATTATTGGAAATAAGAGTTAAATTCTTCTTTTCCAGGAAACGTTAAAAAGGATCTGCATGTTGTGAAATTAGCCACAGTTTACAGTAAACAAATTATAAAGAAATTTGGGTTACCAAAAAGATTGTTCTTTTCTCTTTAATTACCTCTTGAAGTATTTTGTGCATGGAAATTTAGTAAGTACTGTACTTGATTTGTACATGAGCAGATTAGAGATAAATGGAGCTGTTTACATCATAGTTTTCTTTCCTTTCGCTACACTAATTTGTAGGAAAATATACTGTAAAAGAAAAAAAAATCATACTTTGACAGTGGTCAAGTGAATTATATTTTGGGAATACTCACGTTAAATAGACACTGAGCTAAAAAAAGGCCCCACAGCATGGGACCAGTCTAATATCCGATTCATAAAATCAGTTGAATAAGCTATCGTTACTGATTAAATGTGGGCTAATGCATATGACAGTGAGCTGATTTGACTAAGAAAATTCTTGCCTCCTGATTGGCCGAAGTCAGCTTTGTTGTCAGTTCTTCCCTCATATTTTCCAACTGCTGTCTAAGCTGATTCTTATCCCCTTCCAGATGTAGTTTCTCCTTTTCAAATTGCTGCTCCAACTCCTTAAGAAAACAGAAGAACAAAACAGAAAAATTACATCCATTCTTAGTAGTCATTACAGCTTTTAACTCCTAGAAAGAACTCTTCTCTCTAAGGAATTATAATAGGGGTAAGTTTTGCCCGTTATTATGGAGATCATGGCTTTTTTGTGTACTTTCTAGTCCACATCCCTTGTTGATAAGATAAAAATAATAGTATGTAAAATCTCCTTTTGTAATTAGCCCAAAGCATTCAAAAATGTAGACTCTCAATCTTGCATATACGTGGGCTCTACCAACGCAGGGACCTTAAGTTGTATCAAACATGAGTTTTAAATTTGATAACATAGTATTTAATTTCTATATAACATGCATAAAAGGAAGCAGTAAAACCTTAATGGCTATGCAGAGGGGTCAGATAGGCAGCTGAGCTGAAGTTGGGGAAAGTCAATAATTTTTATGTCATTATAAAACTAAAAAACCAGCAAATACACCTACACATCTAAAATTGTATTCATGTAATGAAAATGTATATATTTGATGGTCTATGTTTCACCCCTCCCCCTCATACTTTGCTTACATTATTAGAGTGCACTTTTTGAGGGGGAGGGACTCCAACTATATCCATGTTTATACAGCATTTAGCCTGAGAAGGCCCTGATTTTAATCAGAGGCCCCAGCTTGTACAGTAAAACAAATATTAGAAAATGAAATAATAATAATAAATAATAAATTGCATGTGTGCCTTTCTGCATCTGCCAATCTGTGACTTACATCACTGTTTCATAAACCTAAGCCATATATGTTTGTGCTGGAATTTGTGCTGCTTGGGGGGCGGGGGGTGAGGGAGAGTGGTATTGAGAGCACCGGGGAGACTGTCTTTTTGCTCTCTGTTCTGATGCCCAGCACCACATTGGTCACAGAAGCTGGCAGCAGCCATTGCAAAGAGAGTCCAGCATCCCTGGGATGGTGCATGCTCTGTGCAGATGGTATCTGAAGAATTTAGCGGCAAAATCCTAGCCAATCTCTACTGAACATGTGCCAATTGTGATTTTTCAAAGGCTTATATAAATGATAACTTGTCCAAATTTGACATCTTTTCATTGGAATAACAAAAGGCACATCCCTGATACTAGGGCAACATCTCTGACAATTTTCCAGCCCTTCTTCCCTAAGCATGAAGATGCTAGAACTTTTCAAGAAAACCGTTTTAACTTTTTTTCCTCTTTTTTTAATATGGGCTACAATACATTTTTCCCAATCTGATTCTCAGAATTGGTTGATTTTTTCCCCCCCGATACTTAAAAAAAAAAAAAAAATACAGCCTTAGGTAGACACCCAGCATGGAAAATTTCACCTTTAATGACTGAAGTTTGGCAAAGTTATTAGCAACTGAAAACGGTGCCAGGTGATATAAAATATAGGTGCTATGAGCTCTGCCTATAACATACTAAAAGATACAATTTACAATAAAAAATAAACCTTTCAATACATATACCACCCCTCACCCTACTGTCACTCCTTTTTCCTCATCTTCTTGTCTTTTACTTCCTTACACTATCTTCCTATTTTCTCCACAAAAGTATACTCAGGGTCTTCCTTCCTCTATCCCTCCAACTGTTGGAGTCCAACAGCACAGTATATCTTTGCAAAGCCATCAGCAGGGACTTCCTGTCTCATGTTAGACTTGAGACAGGTAATATTTACTAGGGAGTAGTTCAGTCTCTATGCTGACTCAGTCCCTATCCTCTGCCGAGGTTCCCGAATAAGTCAGCCCACAATGAAGGTTGATATTTGTGATATGGACACAGGACCAATAACTCATGTTCCAAAGTTGTTTGAGTGTTGTTGTAGCCAAATTGGTCCCATGATATGAGAGAGACAAGGTAAGTGAGGAATGGACCAACTTCTGTTGATGAAAAGTACAAGCTTTCAAGCTTCATAGAGTTCTTCTTCAGGTGTGGGGAAGGTAATCAGAGTGTCTAAGCTAAATATAAGTTGGGTCAGACTGGGAAGTATAAGGAGTTTACACATGCTATAGGAGACTACTTAAAATGAAGTGGGCAATTAAGGGTTTGCAGGCGGCAGGGTCTGTAACAAATTGTTGTAATGAGCCATGAAACCAGTGTCTCTGTTGAATCAATGCCCCAACAGTAACTGTGTGGGTGAAACCAGGCAATCACCATGCTCTCGAAAGAATTCACACAGAAAACAATAAAAGACAAAAACACCCTATCACCCATGGGTGTACACTTTTCACAAAGCAAAGCAATCACTCCATATCTGACCTCTCCTTCCTCATCTTCAAAGGAAACCTGTTCAACACCTTCAAAAGGCAAGCCTGGGAACTTAAATTCATAACTCTGCTAGACACTAAAAACTATGGACTCAGAGACACTATTTTTATGACACATTATGACAGTTTTAACCCCTAGTTGCCCACTTCATTTTAAATGGTCTCCTACAGCATGCGTCAACTCCTTATGCTTAACAATCTATCCTAACTTATATTTTGCTTAGACACCGTGGTTACCTTCCCCAGACCAGAAGAAGAGCTCTATGAAGCTTGAAAGCTTGTACCTTCCACCAACAAGCTGGCCCAATAAAAGATATTGCCTCAGCTACCCTGTCTCTCTCATTTCGCAAAGGCTACTTAAACAACCATTAGATGTCTACAACTTTCAGCAACAACCTATCTTTGTTGGATTCCCATTGCTGACCTACAGCTTAAAGGCTCCATAGCTCATTAACATTTCTCTCATTTCTCTATTCCCAGGGAGTCAAATCCACCTTCCCCATGTCAACAAATGCATGCTAACAAACAAAGGTCTTTTCTATGCCAATATAATGACTTGGTGAAAATATTTTAAGAACCCCCATATATTCTGCACACCTTCCAAAATCAAAACTAAAATAATGTATGAGACCAACAAACAAACAAAACAAGTACAAAAAAAACAACACTGAAAGCAGATGGGAGCAAAGCACAGTTGAGAAAATCTACAAAAATAATCCACCTATAAGGCCTACAAATATTTTAATTGGCCAAATCCATAGACAATACAGAACAGGTAGGCATTGAAAAATATTCGAAATTCTCAATAAAAAAGGAAAACAGTTTCAGTCAGAAATTATTCTCCTTAAGTATTAGTGTTCATAACAAAGAAATATATTTTAACGAAGCAATAATGCAGCAGCAAAAACTGTTTAGCTTGAAGTTCAACCCAGTCCTACAACTCTAGATCTGGAGTTCTATCAAAAGGCATTTTCCTTCCAGTGTGTGGCATGCAGCCATTGCTAAACAGCTACATCTACATCTCACTGAGGCGATGGAAAGACTCTCAGTGACTTCACTGATTTATGGATTAGGCCCATAGTTCTTTCCCCAAGCACTTGTGCAAGTCAGGGGGAAGCTATCCTGAAATTAATTATGTGTTCAATGGGCAACACATAGTGCTCCTGCACCTTGTCAAAAGTACGTGTTCACTTTTCCACAAAAGTTTGAAGAGGAATCTTTAATATACTATTTTCCTAACCATAAAGGTGCAACTATGGCTTTGTTGTATACATGTATTTAAATCAACAAGCAAGTTAGCTAACACAACTAGGACTGCTATATCACCCTCAACTTGTCCATATTTCATTTAGGAATTGCAGTGGTTGTATATAAAAGGATCCCAGAGCACTCTAATACCCTTTGTTATTCTTTACAAATACAAATGTACCAGAGTCAAGCCCTCTTAGGAGAATAAGGGATAAAAGAATGAAATAAGGACATTAATACATGCTATCCATATGCATGTACCATTTTCTCATAGTTTGGCTCAACACCCTTTCTTATTTGGAACATGGTTTGTTTTCTTCCTAACTTACCAGTTGCAGCTTTTTCTTTTCCTTGGTAGCATTGCTGTGTGCAGCCTCAATCGCCGTGTGATGTTTCCATGCCAATTCTTCCAAGGTCTTAGAATGAGCCTCATTTAACAGTGCAGCCTCCCCTTCCAATCTGGTTTGCAGCTTGATCAGCTCTTTCTCATAATACTCTCGTTGTGTTTCCCTGGCTTCATTTACCTTCTGTAAAAGCCAGACAACAAAAAATTCCAAATTACCTATTCTTAAGTGTTTGTCTATTTCAGTAAGGAGAAAAAGAAAAAAAGGAAAAACTAGAGAAGTTTTACACAAATACTCAAAAACAATTATACTTTATATACATGTAGCATAGAATAAATACCCTTAAACCAGATCTTTAAACTATACTTAGAAAGGTGTTTCAATTATAGACTAAGTATAAGAAGTTAAAATCTATTGTCTCTTTTTTTTCTCTATTTTATCATGTAAAAAATTTTCAGATCTAGAGGCAATTTCCAATTCATTATTCTCTGAGCTGCAAACATGGTTTTGGGTATCAGTTCTTTTTTCTTTCTTATTTTAGTTTTGAACTAGTGCTGGTGTGTAGTGAGGCAAGGAGGAAATTCCTTATTATGATGCCCTCTCAAAACAAAAGTCAAAAGGAAGGTTGTTCAAACAACATAACATCGTTTAAACCAGTACGTTTTTCTGGACTCCATTACTTTATATGTAATCTATCTCATCATCATGATCTTAACTGGTGGGAACAGGAAGAAACAATTAAAGAATCATTATACAATAGCTCAAGTTTTAGTTTGCTATATTTGCCCTGTCATGGGCCTATTGGGTACCTGCATGTACATTCTCAAGGCTTACGGATTTTCAATTTTTCCTTGAACTCAGCCCCTTTCCCACCTCACGGGGGCACTCTGGGAGATGAGACACTTAGGAAGATTATTGGCAATCTGCTTCAAGAATCAAGAAGCACAACAGATGCCAGAAATCAGTTTGGATAACATTGCACCTGCCGCCTCTCTGTCTTCATCTCAGCTGAAACTACCACCTTCAACTCTCCAATGCACACGATCTACATTAGTAACTTGAAAAGTTTGCAGTACCATACGTGTCTCACAGGGCAGTATAATGTGCTATCACTGCTCCATACAGTCAGACACTCCAGTCTTTTAAAAGAGTTAAGATATTTCAGAATTCATTAATATTTCCAGTTAGAATTCTAAGGCTTCTATTTTGTTGTTCTAAAATAGAAAGAACTGTGGTGTGGTGTTTTGTTTTGTTTTTACCTTTTCCAGTGCCAGAATCTGCTGCCTTTGTCTTTCATCCAGACTTTGTGTTTTGCTCTGCAATAGATTTCTTTCCTCTTCCAGCTGAGATAGTTTCTCTTTTAATCTAGATTTTTCTGATTCTAAATCTCTTATTGTAACTTCCTGTGTCATCTGTGTAGCTTGAAGAATTCCAATGTGACCTACAAAAAGAAAACAACCATTTAAAATCTCAGACATGAAGATTTTTCACCTGTAACCCGAACTCTTACAAATGGACTCTGCACATGCCCACCCAAGTGATGTCCAGTAATGCAGCTCTGACAGTGGAACCTTCTTGCAGCAGTGCTCTCATGCCCCCTCCCTCACTGTTCCTGAACGTTTGGAGGGCAAGGGTATAAAAAGGGGGCATGAGGATCTGGTCACCTTGGTTCCTTCCACCGCCTCTTCAAGGTTCAAAGTTTAAATTAGCACTCCAAAGAAAAAAATGAGGAGGAGGAAAGTGTGTATGTGCAGAGTCCATCTCAAATAATTCTGGTTACTGGTGAATAATCTTCATTTATTTTTCAAATGGCCTCAGCACATTCCCACTCATGGGATAGTTAGAAAAGAAGTACCACAATCTCTGTAAATTGAGATGCAGAGTCCTAATTGAATAATGATTGTAGTACTGTATTACCAAACTGAACATCTGACCAGGATGCTAGATCTAGTGAGTAATGCTTTGTGAAAGTGTGACTAGAGCTCCAGGTTTTAGCTCTTCATGTTTCTAAAATCGGGATAAGCTTGATGCATGCCATGGAAACCATATTTTCCCTGGGAAGAGGGGCAGAGCTTTGTTTGTAGCTTTCTACTATACAAAACAGCTTTTCTCTGTACAAAGCCTAACCCATTTAGACAAATGTTGTAATTATGTTTCCTTTATTAGTAGTATCCCCAAATGAAATAAAACCTTTTGGTGACTTCTTGGCAGTTAAGGCATGAAGCTTTACCTCATCTGAATGAGAATGAGGTCTAGAAAAGAATACTGCTAAGTTATTGATCTGAGTTAGGTTAAAGTCTATTACGACTTTGGGAGGGAATCTAGGATGCAGATGGAGGACTTTTTCCCCTGTGAAAGACAGTGAATGGTGGGTCAGCATGAGGATCTGTAACTTGCTTATAAATTCTAGCAGATGTGCTTGCTGTAATAAAGGCGGTTTTGATTGAAAGGAGAATTAAGTAACCCCACTGGCTCAAAGGGGGTTTCATGAATGGAGTAAATACCAGTAAATAGTGGAGTAAGTAGGTTAAGATCCCAAGTCAGATTTACCTCTTTATTGGAGGAAAACGTTTACTATTTCTTTCATGAACCTCTTGGCTGTGTCATGTGTGAATTTAGTCTTATTATCAATAAATGCATGGTGTGCAGAAATGGCTGCTAAGTGAACTTTCAAGAATAATATAGAAAGAGTTCTAATCACTTTAAATGAAGTAGGTATTCAAGTCCGGAGTACTCAGAAGATGTTTCTGAATCCATATTGTTAGTATTGGCCCAGATTAAAAATCTTTTCCATTTGAAATCATAGCATCTGAGAGTTGACTGTTTTCTGGAATTTATCCAGACACAAGAAAATTCAAGAGAGGGGGACTTTTCTAGGTCTGTCACAATCCTATGGTCCATGCTGTCAAGTGCACGGAATGGGGTCCAGCTGGTAAATCCATCTGTTCTGTTGGGTCAGTAGATCTGTGGTTAGTGGAAGAGACCGATAGTTCCCTCTGAACAGATGAAGAAGATCTGGAAACGTTGGTTGTCTCACCTGTGCTGTGGCAATCAAGGTTATTCTTGCTTTATCTGTCTTATTTTTCTTATGACTCTTTGAGAGAGAATAAATGGGGGAAGGCATAAAGGAGACCTATTTCCCAGTCAAGCAGAAATGCATCTGATATGGATTGGATTTCTACTCCAGTTCTTGAACAAAACCTTGGGCAATATGAATTGTATCTGCTTGCAAATAAGTCTATGTCTGGATAGCTCCAAAGACAGAATATCTCATTTACTACTAAGATTTTGTGACCATTTGTACCGTTCACTTCTGTCTCAGCTCAACTGGTCTGCAAGACTGTTGACTTTGTCCATGAGGGCTATATGGTAGATATGGTGCTGGATGCACCAGTTCCACAGTACCACTGTTTCTCTGCAAGGTTGGCTGGAGTGGGCCCCTTGTTTGCTCACACAGAACACTGCTGCTGTGTCTATTGCTACATGGATGAGTTTGCCTTGCAGATGTGGAGACAGGATTTGAAATCAAATGGAATGCTCTTAATTTTAGCATTTGCAGAGTCCCTTCTCAGTGGTTCTGATGGCCATGGACAGTTAGGTTGTACAGGGGAGGTCCCCATCCCAAGTATGAAATGTTTGAGGTAATCATAGTCGACAAAGCTGGGGGGCTGAATGTTACTCCTTCAAAACACTGTGATGCTGAATTGACCAACTGAAGGATGACAGTACCTCTTTCCGAACTGTCAGTTTGGAGAACATGCTGTCCAAATTTGGAAGATAAATCTTTGCTAGCCAATTCTCATCTTGAGGCTGATACTTGACTATCAGGGCTTCTTGTGGAGTCTTTGTTGCCATCAAGCTTTTCATAAATCCTCCTTCTTCTGGACGGAAGACTATGGCTTTTCAAGAATCCAGAATTCCCCAATAAACTGGATTAACTATACAGAAGTTGTGATTTTTTTCCAGCGTATTTTAAGTCTCAATTTTTGAAGAGGGATCATGTCTGGACCATAATTGTTGAAAGGTCCTCCCTGAGAGGATACACTGATTAACCAATCGTCTACACAGAAGTAAATGTGGATGCCCTGTCATCTTAGATGTGTTGCTGCTGCTGCAGATAGACACTTTGTGACTACTCACGTGCACCTGAGCAGAGAAAAAGGAGGACTCTGAGTGGAAGCGATCCTCTCGTATGATGAAATGAAGGTATTTGTAATGTGAAGGTCTGAGAATTCTAAAATACACTTCTTAAAAACTGAGGGATCCAAGCCAATCTTGGGTGGATACGGAGGAGATAACTGATGCCAGGTTAACACAAAGAATTTGAACTCCCTGATTAATTAATTGAATTTTCACGGGTCTAAAGTAGGCAGAAGGTCTCCATCTTTCTTTGGGATCAGAAAGTATCTGGACTAGAAATCCTTTCCATGGAATTCCCTTGAACTCTTCTGCATGGCTCCTTGCTTACATTAGAGACTGGATTTCTATTCCTAACAGATTCTCATGAAAAGGTCCCTGAAGAGAAAAGGGACAAGAGGAGTGGTGGGAGGTATTGTGTTGAACTGAATAGAATAAATTTTCTGTATAATTTCAGGATCCAACTGTCTGTTGTGAAGGCATGCCAGATGTTGAAGGAGTGCGAAAGTCTTTTTTCCAAAAGAGGGGAAGGAGGTGAATGGATCGATCAAGGTTGATCTGATGCTCTTGGGTGTCTCGGCAAATGTGAGGTCTAAGCCCTAGTGTGAAAGACGTGGAAGCTGTTGATTTACCCTTTGTACGAAATTTAAAAATTTTCCTCCTCTGTAGCCGTTGCTAAAATGATGGTTGGTTGAACTGCCATCTCTACCTGCAGTAGGATAATGAGGAAGACGAATATTGTGGTTTATGATATTTAAGGCAGGAATATCAAACCTTCTTCTGGATGGCTGGTAGATCCCTCGATAGTAGTTGTGGATCTTAGTACCATTCAACTTTTCTAGGATTTCATCCATTCCTGAACTTAATAGACCATCTTTCAGAATAGAAGGTTTTCCACACATGTTCTCATCTCTCATACGAGGCCAGATGATCTCAGCCATGAATATCACCTTAATGCTATTGCTGAAGTCGCTGCCCCGGCTGCTGCATCACAGAAGTCAAATGAGTACGCCTGCAATAAACCTTCCAATATGGGAGAGTGATTTTCATGGTTCATGATTTCAAGTTCTTCTTCACACAGCGCACAGTCAACTTGTGGAACTCCTTACCTGAGGAGGTTGTGAAGGCTAGGACTATAAC